TCATTTTGGTAATATCAATTCGGGTGCTTGCATGTATGTTTCAATGTATTGTGTCTACAGGTATTGTATGCGTTGTTTGCATGGTCACCGTAATATCCGTAAGATCTTTTCATTTCGTTGTTTTCATCACTGGCGCCGACATCTTGGTCTTCTAGCACTGGAATTAAGCAAGCACTTTGTTATTCAAGAAAACTATTTGATAGACATCATTACTAGCTTAGCACTTTAAATCAGGGTTAATGTTTAGTAATAGCTTAGATAGCACCTTACCTCACATATTTTATGAATTTTATGAATCATAATATACTTAAAACTATTTTTTCATCAGGCTTGCTATAAATTTCTCAGTTGGAAAGAGTTTTTTCTTCGTCTACTTACCGTACCTATACGGATACCCTGAAAGAAAACATGTAGGTTGCAATTGAATGTTTTTTCTGTTACCATAATAAAAATGGCGATAATAAAAGTGTACGGTCACAGGGTTTTTGAGACTACAACACCAATTTTGTCACCCAATGTATTTTAACAAATCAAATGTCTCTAAATGGCTCTCATCATTATTAAAAAATATGTAAGACCATCTTATTTATAGTATATTTTGATTAAATATATCTTTTACTTTTTAATAACTTTTATAATTTGGTCTTTAATTTATGTGTAGTTTTAGTTTTATATACATATGTAAACAGCGCTGAGACGCTTGTTTGGTGCGGTTTTAAGAAATAATAATTATTATTATACAACTATTCATTTTAATAATATAAATTCACGTTCATGTGTTTGCAGATGTTTCAATATTTAGTGTCTGCAGGTACTGTAGGTGTTATGTTTGGTCACCGTAATATCCGCCATATCTCTTTACTTCGTCTTCAGCCTCACTGGCGGCGACTTCTTGGTCTTCTAGCACTATTATATTATATTATATTATATTATATTATATTATATTATATTATATTATATTATATTATTATTGTATTATAATTAAGCAAGTATTTTATTATTGAAGAAAACTGTCAGATTGAAATCATTGCCTAGGTACTTAAAATCTGATTATTTTATCAATATCTTAAATAACGCACAGAAACTCATATACATTTCAAGCTCCCACACACGCTCACACAAACAAGCACAAATAAGGGTAGACACAATCACACACATAACAAATCAAAAGATCAAACTAAAACCAAATGTGCAAGCACACACATACACACCCAATAACAAGAATACTTACACAAACAAAAATGCCAACTTAGACCCCATTTCCATAGATTTTAGATCGATCTTTCCCTTTGGGGAGTCTCAATAGATTACTGTCAGCTTAGCCGACTTAAGCGTCTGTCCCGCCTACTGAAAGCTGTAAGGGGGTAATTAACTATGGTGCGCGCTCGGCTGACTGCAATTTAGCGTGAACCCCCAGGGAGTTACGTCGATCTAAATCTTAATCTCTGGATCGATCTAAATCTCTGGGAATACACCCTTACACCCCATTTCCATAGATTAGATCGACCTACTTTAGATCGACCTAACTCCCTGGGGGTTCACGCTAAATAGCTGTCAGCCGGGCGGACACGAAAGTTAATTACCCTCTTACAGCTTGTAGTAGGCGGGACGGACCTTTAAGTCAGATTATCTGAAAGTAATCTAGTGAGACTCCCCGCGGGGATAGATCGATCTAAAATCTATGGGAATAGCCTGTTAGAAACACACACACAAATTGTTTTCTTACCTGTCTCTCCCAATACTCCTACATGCATAATAACCAGCCCACAAACTAGGAAGAAAAGAAGAAGTGGATTCTTCATAGCTAAATTGCGATCGGTTGTCGCCACGTCTGTGATTTTACAAGCAGTGTCCGTTTATCGGTCAAAGTAAAATGAGCTGCTGGCTGATATTCGCCGCTTTTATATCATTTGGGAGTCACGCCCACCTCTCTGTCACAACTTTAATGAGAGTGTTGACCTGGGGAGTGACTGGGTTCCCATACCTACATCGATCTAACTGGATAGATCCATCTCCGAGAGGTTAACGCTTAATTGCTTTCACCCTAAGCGGCTTCGATATCTGCGGCTCACCTACTGAGGCTGCTAAATAATAATTAATTATTACCCTCTACCAGGGTTGCAGTTATATTTGTGGACATTTTTGGCAGAATCGACATCAGACCAAAATGACTTTCTATTTTTCTAAAGACATATCGGTATCGATGAATATCTTTGGAAAATCAATATATCGCCCTGGTGATTAATTACCCCCTAGCAGCTTCAGTAGGCGTAACAGACATCTAAGCTTCATAAGTTGATTGCAATTTAGGGAGAATCTACTCGGAGATAGATTGATCCACAGTATGTACAGTCATGGTCCCTAAATGAAGTCGTTTATCATCATTATAGCGGGACAACCGTAGAGGAGAAACCCACCTTGGGATATAATCAACCACGATATAGAGAATTGCCGGACAAGATATTTTTGTGCGCGGTGACTTCGATTACATTCAGCAATTTTTCTCATCATGAAAACAGAGTTCAAAAAAGGCTTTAAAAACGGCTGTTGAATATTTCGGAAGAGGCAGCTAGGTGGTTTAATCTATTAATTCCCGTTTTCTACGACAATGGTTTTAGAAGAACAGTCATGTATGCATCACTATTTAAGAACCATGAGCGACTGTTTTATTTAAAACAGAATAAAATAACACAATTGTCCTGAAAATCCGATAAGTCCAAAAGTTTCTCCCGCCTCAATTCACAGATGCATGTTCATAATGCAAACTTGACTTGCGTTACGTTGTCCCTGTATATCATCATACTATCAGTTTACACATTAATCAGGTGATGCGATAATATTTTACCCGGTATTTCATTTAATAAACAAGCATATTTCCTTTTGTGGTATATAAACTGTGTCGTTAACATTGGAACTCATCCTTAGTTCATATGCACCAGTAGTGTTGTCAAAACAATTTAATATAAAACAAGCAAGAAAAAAATTCAAGCGTTATCTTTGCTGAGAGAGAGAGAGAGAGGGAAGAGAGAGGGAAGGGAGAGACCCTGTTTTTTTTTGTTTTTTTTAATCACTGATAATCTCCGACAACTTTCCTGGACACATTTTCATCCCAAACAGGTAAATCAATGCCACAATGAAGTTACGCCACTGTGTCATTAATACCCCCTCTCTCCGCGTTATCAAGGTGTCGATTACGTCACTATCAAATTAACACCACCTATCCCGCTCAGGTGACTTTAATATGTGCCAAAGGCAACGACAGGGGGTGGTATTACAGTCTGTATGAAATGTAACTGGGAATTTTAATGCTGACAGATGTGAGAATGTGAGAAAGGAAAACGCCCAGAGGCATAACGTGCGTATTCGAGAATCTGACTCCTCAAAAATTAATAAAGATTAAAAGAAAACTGACAAGCATGCCGAAAGCGCAACCCCCACCAAAGCAGTTCAGTTCTTACTGTTATTTATTAATCAGTTTTTCAATAATTGATTTAGCTTAATTATCATTATTATTTATTATTTTCTTATTTACTCATTGATCAGCAATTTTTTCACAATTTACCAATTAATTCTTTCACTGATCAACACCAAAATCTAAACTATTCCTTACCTGTTCGGAGAATTTTACCAAAATCTCTCAACAATTTTTGCATATTGATGCTTATGGACACACAACCAAATAAATTAACTAATTAATATTTAACCACTCCCAACAGTTTCTGAAAATCTCACCAAATTACGTCCAGAAATTTTTTTCGTGATTTTGCCAACAAAGAAGCAGATAAAGGGAACCAAACATATAAAGTGACCTCCTTGGCAAAAGCAATTATAATGTAGAAAAGAAAAACCTTTTTATTTAAAGAACATTTTACTTTACTTTTATCTTTTTGTTTTAATTTTGTAATGTTAGTTTTTAATTTATCTTAAATAGTGTATGTAAATATTTAAATTAAAATATGTAAATTATTTAAAGCGCCCCATCTACTTTGACACTGTAAAAATACGATACGATTTGTCAGAGATTTCGAAGGGAAAGTCTATTAGACATGTCCTGCAGAAAAAGAAAAACAAACAAACACAGAATGTGTATTTCTAAGCAGCAATAAAGACACTAAAAAGGGAAGAAAGAATGCAAATATTATGTAGTCTCTACGTGCTCGAAAGAACCNGCATAGCAAAACAAAATGACGAACAATGACAATATTGACAATATAAATATATATTTAAAAAACTCATATTATTTAAAATTACACTTAAGGTATGTATTATGGCTTAGGCTCTAAAGTTAATACTTTCCTGAGGATTTCAACAATTAGTTGTCAGTCACAAAGATACTTCCTATACGAGATGGTTGCATTATTGTTATGGGTAGGAGCACACACAGCGTCTATACCATTCAACTATCACACACTTTTAACACATCTGGCTTTCGAACAAATTGGAAAATAAATAAGAAACACAAGATACATTTACACTATATTGCTATTTATTGAGTGTTTTATTGATTGCTTTTCAGATATCGTTTGATAAGGAAACAAAGTTAGAGCATAAATTGAACAGTATAAGGATCATATTTTAAAACAAAATGGATTTTTTAATTCTACAAAAATAAAAACATTAATTACTTTATACTATTACTAATTGCGAACTAAAATGATCGAAAACACCATCAAAACATGTCCAGTGACCAAAGCAGACTGTCTTGGATGTCATAATTATAACATCTGCTCTGTGGTGATATTAATGACCATTGTAGGACGCATTACCCTATGTTACTTCATTTCTCTTATTACATGTATCAGAAAAAGAGGGCTTTACTTTCTATTTTTATAAAACGGCATGATATACATTAATTAAACGTTGCCCATGCCTAAGATGGTCAGTTGTTAGTTCTTAATAGTTCAAAATCTGTTTGCGATGAGATGTGTTGAGAAAAGGACCAGTTGGATGAAAAATACGCAAATATTTTGATATTAGGCCAATCAAATAACTGATTTTTTATCTCCGGCACGATCTTGTACCAATCCAAGTTGACTCTTTCAGGAAAGCGGAAGTCACGTGTTGGAAGGATAGTGTGCCCAGATGATACAACTGAAAGACGAAAGAGGAATAAATAAAGAAAAACATAAAACTAAATAAGTAAATAAATAAATAAATGAACTGTTTTTGTCTGCAGGTCATTTTGCCAAACAGACTGTTAAGTTTTAATAACATTAACGTGCATATACAGGTGATGTGCTCAAAGATTGGAACGAAAATATTTAAATTAAACTTTTCTCTCAGAGAGAGTTTATGGTAATTCAACATCAACGCAATTTTCAGAGTAATATTTTATCTACGCAAGATCACATTTAGTCTGAATTGCATAATTTTACACAATGACTTTATGCTGTCTACGTATGTTCTTTTTTACCTCTGATTTATTGAATATAATATATAATATTATATATTTAATATTATATATATAATATTATGAACTATTGTTACTTCTTTCACATTACCTTAGTGCTTTTTCCTTTGAAGATCCAGGAGTCGTTTAAGCAGGTTGATATTGGCGTCTTCAACTGAAAACAAAGTCATACAGAGCTACAATAAAAACACAGATGTGGGTATTCAGACAAATAATAATTGTCTGCAGATACATATATAATTACTGAAGCAGCTTCTGTAACCTTAGGGTGCTTTCCCAGAGATTTAGATCGATCTAAAGATTAAATTTTAGATCGACCTTACTCCCTGGGGGTTCAGGCTTAATTGCAGTCAGCCGAGCGGACACCATAGTTAATTACCCCCTTACAGCTTTTAGTAGGCGGGACAGACGCTTAAGCCGGCCAAGCTGACAGTAATCTAGTGAGACTCGCCACAGGGATAGATCGATCTAAAAATCTATGGAAATGGGGTGTTAGATGATAAACTCAAGTCATGAGTGCCCAACTACCATATCACCATAAAAACTGTTCGCACACGTATTTTATCACAAATTTGTGTTTCTAAGATCGCATTCACAACGAGTTGAGCCAGGCTTTACAAATCCTGGGAACTAAATATGGCGGACGTACATGAAAGAAAAACCGCCTAATCTTTTAATAGTCTCTCCGCCTCTCACACGCCTCCC